TAAATCTGATGGTTGAAAGGTGAGTCTGTGTCCCTACTATCTCCAAGTTCAATGGGATTTTATCCTAGTTCCAATGGGTGAAATAATAGCAGAGGTAACATGGTGTTTGAGACCACACTAAGAGCAGTGGAGCATCTACGTTGCTTATCTGACTGTCTTGTTTTTCTTTTCTTTTTTTTTTGAACCCTTCCTCTGCTGTTCAGTAATTCAAGTCATGTTGACGCCAATATACTATGAGAAAAACTGATTGAGCCAATGTCCAGACACACAGAGATTAACATTAAACACATGAAGATTGATCCAGGACATCATTCCCATGGATTGGATTCCAGTTAAACCTTATCAGCTGTCTGAAAAACTAATACCACAGTCACTCATGATCCTGCCCAAGTCCCTGACTTAACATAAACCTTGAAAGGTAACAGCAACTCTAGAACATTATGATTTACCTTGATTTGTTGTGTTGCAGCAACAAGTAAGCAGAATACTCTCCCTCATCTGCACCAACTATGCCTATTCCTCTGTGTTGTATTCCTCATGGATTTTGCCAAGTCCCTAACTCCAGGGAGTTGTTAGAGATGGAAAAGACCCATCTGCAAGTTTAGTGCTTGGGGTGAGGTGATGGGGCAGTTGGGCAAATCCTCACTGATGTCCACAGGTTAGTTCTAGCTAAGATTGGGTTAGGCATTCCGGTAAGGGATTCCTGCCCAGCAAGAGCAGTTTTCTTCTGTTAGGAGGTACATAAAGGAGATAAAGTCTCAATTGGTGATACTTTGTCAGAAGGATGTATAGACAAGTACCATGTACACCCAGGAATGACACCAGGACACTGTGCCACTACATCCTGGAAAATGACACAGATGTCCCTGTTTCCCTGTTGCATATCGCTTGGTTTAGTCCAACGCCCTGTGAGGCCTGCACCCAGCCCTGTCTTACCTTAAAGACATCACAGAAGTGAGGCCAGAGTGAAAGGCAGCCCAAGGTACTCAGTGCAACCCTGAATTGCCTTTTATGTCCAGCAGTTGTTTTCCACCCTGGCCCTCTCTAGACCCTCAGTAATAACCTTTCCTAGTAAGCAACTCAACAAGAGTTGTGATGGGTAACATGGGAATTATGGCTATTAGCCATGCTGGTTTGTAGTACTAGAATACCTGTCGTGCATAGGCTAGGCTGCAACACCATTTCAGCATTGTGTTATGGCTGGTTCTTAGGTCTCCAGAATCTGCCATGAAAGCATCCCATAACACTTGTGCTGTATCTGAATGCCCAACTATCCCACCCCCAGTAACAACAAGCTTATGGTGGTTCCACCACTCAGCTATCCCCCCAGGCCTGCTCTAATCCATTATGGATGTGTCTGAATACAATCTCCCCATCAGAATAACCACTTGCTGAGGGCAGCGCTGAAGACTCACTTGTATCTGGGCAAGAACCAAACCAGCTCTTCATCTTAGAGCAGCATTCAATGTGGAAGATGAGGCAGAGCTCGAGAAGCAGATCTTGACCACCACAATGTCATCTGCTAGGGTTCTGGTTTCCCTTTAGAAATGTAGATGAGGCTGCTCAACTAACGGTAACCTGGATCCTTCCTCTTAACATCAGGGTTTGAATATAAATATATATATTTCTCCAGACCTTCCTTTACCTGGCCAGCTCAAGTGTCACCCAACCTCAAGTCCAACTACTACACAAATACAGAAATAGGAATGTCTCACATTTTATACTTAACACTTGTATCTCATAGTTCATCCCCAGTACAAAAAGCAAAACAACAGGGCTGGAGAGATGGCTCAGTGGTTGAGGTCAAGTTTGCTGCTAAAAAGCATGAACATTTTTTTTCTCTGTCCAGAGAGCTGAACATATAGATTGGATAGAAATGGTTTAGCATGATGAGAAGCTCCTTTAAGTCTACACTTAGAAGATAACATAAAGAAATTTAAAATCTTGAGCTTGTGACTGATAATAGTAATTGGTCTTTATCACACTTCCTCCAGTAAGGTTACACAGACTCCAACAAAGCCAAACCTCCTAATAGTGTCACTGCAAATGTTACAACTCTGGAGGAAAAGGTATCCTGACTATGGGAAGTCTAGCTATACCTACAACTGTTACAGTTCTGAAGGAAAGGTTTTCTGATCTGTCAGGAAGGTGGGAAATGCCTACTGTTGTACGGGGGAGGTATCCTGGATACCTACAGTTGTGAGGAGAAAGATATCCTGGCTTGTGCAGAAGTCAGCCTGTACCTGAAGCTGTAAAGAGCTGGATACCTAAAGCTCTGGAGGGAAAGTTATCCAGACTTGTTGGGAAGTCAGGCTGTACCTGAAGCTGGGTTCCAGTTGGAGATGGTCTCCCCACAGGATGTAGGAGAGCTGGGTACCTATAGCTCTGGAGGGAAAGTTATCCAGACTTGTTGGGAAGTCAGGTTGTACCTGAAGCTGGGTTCCAGTTGGAGATGGTCTCCCCACAGGATGTAGCAATCCTGCTCCTCTCCAACAGAGAACTGTTACAGCTTAGCTCTGCTCCACTCTGCTAAGAGAGTTTCCCAGCAGAGATGTCTGTTTCTTCTCAACTCCAGCCCAAATTGTTATCTCTTCTGTTTCACTCTGCTATGGGGAAACCCCTGCAGAAATATTGCAATCTGCTATGACTCCAGCAAAAACTCATTACTTCTGCTCCAATCCCCTCAGGAAGTTTCCCAGCAGAGATGTCCATTGCTTCTCTACTCCACCACACTAGGGGATTTCCCAGTAGAGATTCTGCTCTGCTCTGGCAAGAAAAGGTCTTCACCCAAAACTCTTTCAAGAAATTTATTTGGAGGGAGAAATCCAGAGAGTGGCTGTGGCTGACTCCACAGGGATGGAGAAGGGCAGTTGGGGGCAGAGTTTTCAAGGGAGAAGATGGGGTTGTTAAGACTGTCTCCCTACCCCAACAACAGGGAAATGAGAAAGGGGGGGGGTGGAACCTCAAAACTGTCAGGACCAAATAGGGTTACCTACTTGGTAACCCATGCCCAGAAGGAAGATGGGTTGCCCTGATGCTGTGATGACTACCTGGGCTCCATTGTCAAAGATGGTGGTAGTTGGGCTAAGGAAACCTAGAGCCCCTCAGTCATCCATGGCAAGGCCTAAGAGTTTGGCTACAGGGCAATCTGGGCCTGCTGTCCCCATGCTACAGGGACATGGGGGCAATCAACAGCCCAGTGTCCCTTTTTATGGCAACTTGGACATGGTGGTTTAGAAGGGCTCAGGCAAATCAGGGCCCAGTGACCCTCCTGATAACATCTGAAGCAGGGACCTGCAGATTCGTGGGCTTTGGGAGGCAAGGAGCTAACAGCAGGTATTTTTGTTTTCAGGCTTTTTCATCTCTCTCATGGTATACCTTGAAGGCCACTGCAAAAATTCTACCTGTAGAGTCAAGGGGTCCCCTCTTAAGTGTGGCCTTAATATCAGGGAACTCTGGGAGAGGAAGTAGGTCACGAAGAGTTGTTTTCCACTGGGGTCTGTGGATCCAGATTGGTGTATTGTAAGAGGGCCTTTGGAAGATAGTCTAGAAATTGAGACTTTTTCAGAATTTACTACTTTGATGGCATCCTCAACAGAGACTGGCCAGTAGACAAGTTACACATTGATCCCTAGCCAGAATGACCCTTGGAGTATTGTAGTTCCATTTGGGGTCCAGACAGTTTGGTGAGTTTGTCTACATGTGCCCTAGCCTCCCACTCACCTGTGCTCCTCAGGGAGAAGGTTGTTGGTGAGAACCATGTAACTGTCATGAAAGGTGAGGTTGTAAGATTGGGTAATCTATTGGAATTATTTTATAATGGTGGAGGGATTAGTGGTATACGATCCCAACCTCTTCTCTATTTCAGGGAGATCACTGAATGAGAAAGGGACAGGTACCCTGACCAAGCCACTCATTCTGGCAAACTCCAGCAAAAAGAACTGGGGATGTGTTATGCCAGGTAGCGGCAGAGAAGTTCCATGGCAAAGCAGGAACAAGTAGCGTGAAGACTAAAGTCTGCCAGTGGGCTAGAAGTGGGTGCCAGAGGGATGGTCAAGGAGGCCTGTGGCTGGAGAGGGAGAAGGAGCTGAGGGCTGAGGCCAATAAGGGGAAGCTCACTGGCTGGATCCGAGGTGGTTTGGGCTTCATATCTAGGAGGAGTCAGGTGGGGAAACAGAACAGAGAGAGGGACTGGAGCAGGGATAGGAGAAAGCTGGGATGTAAGGAATAGGGAATCACTTTTCATTTCCCTGATCACTCACAGTAGTTGTAAAAGTCCCAAATAATATTGGAACCTAGGGTGCCATTAGGTGGCCATTAAGATTGGTTATCTAAGGGATATTGAGGCCAAATTTGATTGCAAAAGCAATTAAGTTTTGGGCCCTTCGGGTCTGGTGCCAGGTGGAGAGGATAGAAGTTTCTAAAAGGCATCCCAAGGAGAATGAGAGGGTACAGATGACACTATTCCCATGGATGAGAAGGGGGACTGGGGTGGCTGCAGCAGCCTGTAGTCAAGGGTGTCCCAAGACTCAGGGAAGACTGAACAAAGACCCTGAGATGTAAATAGCCAGTTGATATGCCAGGCAGGAGAGACACTGTGAATTCAAGGTCTCTGTGTGGTATACAGGGAGTTCTGGTCATCTTGTGCTACAGAATGACACTATGACAAACAACAGTGGAAGAATGGGCAGGCTCCCAGGACAGAGGTCCTGGTCCCAGTGCTGGGTGCAGCACTTCTAATCCCAGAGACAAGGGGAGAGGTGTGTCACAAGAGAGGCTGGCGTATCAGTAAGATGCACCATATCCAGCAGCAGCAATAGCATCCTGAACTGGCCATAACCAGTGGCCTGAAGGAAGACACTAGGATTTAAATGGTTCTGGAGGCTCACACAGGCCAACTTAATGTAGATAGTCCCTCGTTGAGACTCCAAATGTTGCCAGGTTCACAATTGAAATACCATCACATGATCTGACTCAGATTTCTCTGTGTTCAGACTTACCTCTGTGCAGTTCCTCCTTCATCCTGTTCTTCAGATCTACTTCTTTGGGTCTTTCTCCTCTCAACAGGGGACCTGGAGATTGACACACCATATCAACAAATTTCTGTGAAAGTTTCATTTTCAAATGATATAAAGAGTTGAGAGGTCTAAATTTCCCCCATTGTATAAAAGGATCTAGGTTTCAGGGTTTTTTTTGGGGGGGAGGTTGTTTTGTTTTCTTGGTTTTTCAAGACAGGGTTTCTTTGTATTGTTTTGATAAATTTCCCCCATTGTATAAAAGGATCTAGGTTTCAGGGTTTTTTTGGGGGGGGGATTGTTTTGTTTTCTTGGTTTTTCAAGACAGGGTTTCTTTGTATTGTTTTGGAGCCTGTCCTGGAACTCACTCTGTAGACCAGGCTGGCCTCGAACTCACAGAGAATCCAACTGCCTCTGCCTCCTGAGTGCTGGGATTAAAGGCGTGTGCCACCAACGCCAGGCCTAGGTTTCAGTTGTTAAGAGCAAATAAGTTTCAGTTTCTTAAACAAAGGGCTATTAATCAAGAAACACCCCTAACAGCAGGAATGAGAGAGAGAGAGAGAGACCCTCAGATCGAGGAGCCTCCACAAATTGGACGGTTTCCTCCCAAAAACTCAACGTCCAGTCCAGTTGATAAAAAAACAAGAGGTAAGTTTATTGTGGGGCATTTGCGCAAACGGGCCTCCCAGTCTGGCAGACAAAGGGAGCCCCGTTCCTCAAATGCAGGCCTCTTTTATAGGAAAAAATCACAAGATTTTTGGGGAGGAGAGGAGGTTTGGGTACATAACCGGAGTCACACGTCCTTTGAAGGTCTCTTATCTTTGGGGCCAGATGGTCTCCTGACTCACCAGTTGGGTCAACATCCCACAGAATGTGCTGATCACTCTTGCCTGAGCAAACAGTAACTGCAGCTATCTCTTTGGTTTCTCAGGGACTCTCTTTTTTTGTCAATTGTTGCTACATTAACTGGTGGGATAGTCTGTTCTTATCTTCACGACCCCATGGGAGGGTGGCCCTTTGGAAATTCTTGGTATTTAGTTAGGCTATCTTTCAGCCTAGCTGCCGGCTAGGAAATTCCAGGGACTAGAGTCATTGTGGCCTTGGTTAGATTTTTAAGTCAGGCCACCCTGCTTTTAGTGTGGGAGGTTTTTCTAAGCCTCCTTATTTTATTTCTTTGTTAATTTTTAAGTCCAGAGAGAGAGAGAAAGAGAGAGAGAGAGAGAGAGAGAGAGAGAGAGAGAGAGAGAGAGAACATTACAAGGCTCGAATCAGCCCTGCAGTATTACAAGACAGTGACCAAAAAGGGACAGTTCCTGTAACTCTCTGAAACAAGCCTGGACTTGCCCAAATATGTCCAAAGAAACTAGAACCTCAGTCTATCAAAAATGTACTAATATAACTGCTACCCGCTTAACCAATTATGTTTGAGATGACCTAACTACTGCTGAAATTCCCCTAGCTATGCTTAAAAGGGCCTGTAAGCTTTTGTCCCAGGTTGCCATTTTGCATAAATGGCTGACCCCACATGCTGGAATAAACACTCTTTGTCTTTGCAAACTATTTGAGTCTGGGGTCTTTCTTGAGTGTTTTCTTGGACCATACAGAGTGAAGTCACAAGATATGATTCATGGACTTTCATTTTAGAAGTATTGTGGCAGGATGGTGACACTTCAAAGACAGATTGGCAAAGCCATATCCCAACCCTTGAGTGCTGGGACTTTCCTCAATCAGAAAACACTAAACACAAACAGTGGCTGTAAATGTGAAGAGACTGGAGAATCTATTCCTTTGGGAATCTCACCTCATTTCTACACAAAATGGACTGCCAGTGTGCTTCTTATTTGCAAAATGTTTGAATTCCAACCCTGAAGCAAGTGGTGACAATCAAAGTGATGTCACAAACAGATTGATGGTGCTGTTGGATCTCATTGGTTCTTCACACATAGGAAGATGTGTACAATTCCCAACAGAGGGGAGAAATCAAACAGTGATGCCCAGTTTGGTAAAGTACTTAGCCCTAAGCAACCACTTACTGCTGGGGCCCAGCTTGTATCAGTCCCACACTAGAGGCTATCTATTCTGCACTGATGTCTTTAGGGCTGCAATTGGAGCCAGCCGAAAGGCCCCAGGTCCATCCTTGAGATGGGGAGTGTTGTACCAGGAAACTCCTAGCTACCCAAAGGCAATAAAGATGAGACACAGACTTCTTGTCATTTTAAGAGAGCTCTCAGTCCATGCTGGAAACTGGAGTCCATGATTTATTCATGCATCCTCTTAAATAGCTTTCCAACATGGGGAAACATCTACTATTATATTGTTAGACCCCCAGAAAACTCAGGTATCCCGGGTCCCAGGCCACAACCGCAGTCACCCCAATCACCAGGGAGATTCGAGAGCTTGCTGCAAACTGCATGAGGCTTTATTGTAATTTAACGAGCTAACCCCATGTTAACTCAGGTCTCTTGTCCACCCACCATGGCAGTTGGCTACAAAAGACAGTTTGAACCAGCTCCCAAGAGATCTTGTAGGGCAGCGTAAGGGGAGTGTCTAGGGGTACGCACAGGTTCACGATTGGTGTGCCTCCAGGCTTGGAGGGCTTGCCCTGTGTTGATTGGTCAACTGGTTGTTATGGCCCATAGGCCCTCCCAGGGTGGTTGCTATGCTCAGTGCGTCATTGCTGTGTGCTTGTCCGCAAAGTACACCCAGGGTCGTAAAGCATAGCGCCACCAGCTAACTTCTGATTGGTTCCTTGTCACAAGGCAGGC